TCCTATCTGCAGTGTGGCCTTTCTGCAGTTATTTATGTTATTTCTTAGTTTTATTGATCCAAAATGTTTTTATACATTTTCTTCTATCTTTGTGTGATGTTCTGTACATCGCGGCTTTAAAATGTTAAAGCCCCGCCCCCTCCCCAACACCACACACATGATTCGACTATTAGTCGACTATAGGCAGGACCTGACGAATCTGATTCGACTATGAAAATCCTTAGTCGGGGACACCCCTAGTAGTCTGCAAAGAAACTTACTAGATTAAGGATCTTATGTGTTTGTGTTTCAAAATCACCCACTTTTGACCAGTATTATGAACAATATTAAGTGTGCTTGCTAGTATTTGTGTATGCGATACATTGATGGTACACAGTTGGTGTGAAATCTGTTCATGTGATTTAAAAAAAGAGATACTCCTGGTATGTCAAAATATCAATAAAACTTTACAGCAATATGTGTTGACAGTTATGCAAATGTTGATATGGGGCCTTAGCCTAGTGTGTAACATTCAAGTTAGTGAATAAGACCAGCTCCAGTAAGGGTCAATAAACAGAAGAATTTGAAGGACGCACACCATACATGCAAATGAAAAGATTCAATACTAACCTCTAGCCTCTAGCCAACCCCCTTTAATTCACTGGCGAGCTCTCCGCACACACAAACAGACGAATGAAAACAAACACAGGTGCACACAGTTCCACTATCTATGAAGCCCAGATGGACCTTCTCCCCTCAGGCGGCCATTAGCAGAGCGAAGGTGAGTTTCAGAGGAAGAGGAGTAGGCCTACACCCCGTATGATACGACCTGTCAATCATGCGCACAGCATCAGAGGAGTATGGAAAAAAATTGCATTTAAATTTGACTATAATGTCATATTGTGCGGGAACTGCTTTAATAACGCAGCGGTTTTGGGCCGAAGTGTCTGTCGGTACAGATTTTGAATAAATACTCGAATAGAAGGAATATGTTTCATCTCCAGGTGAATGAACTGAAACAAATGAATAATATTGAAACTGATCAAATGTAACAATATCTTGAATCAAAGCATGTGTGTCCATCTGTCTTAACAGCTTCATCTCTGACAGCCTGTCAATGGCCTGCTGGCGTGGATATTACTGGGCTGAAAAACAACTCTATCACACTCTGCCAGAGTCTGTTTCAAGAACAAACTGACGCTCAAACGCAGCAGCCGACGGTCCTTATGACTGTACTGTGAAGGGTCATGTGGGGTTTTGGTAGTGAGGGTTTTTTACAGCGCCTGTCAAAGTGCCAATTTGATTTAGTGCCCTGACTTGACGGGGGCAACACATCAAACACTGATATAGAGAGATGAACCAAGAAGGAACTTAAAGGAAGACGGAATGAACAAAACCAGGAGGGGAAGGGAGTGATTATGCTGTTAAAATGCCAGTGATGTCATCCAGCACTTATTACGAGCCAGCAGCAAACCGTATCGCCTCATGGACAAACAGAGTAACAACAGTGGTGGAATGTGGGAAGATATTATGAGATCAAGTAGAGAGGGAAATCTAACAAAGTAATGTCAAAAACTGCATAAAACAACAAAAAGTGTTAAAAACGCCCTCTGTGCGATTTGAGACTGTACTAAAGGTGAATGATAGCCATGATAAACCAGCTCAGAGGCAACTTTTCAGTTTTTATTAGTGGGTTTTACTGCATGAAATGTAATTTTTATTTGATAGAGTGTCTGGGTTGGAAAGAGAGAGAAAAGGGAGAAAAAACAGAAAGGTCTGGTAAAGGAACAGGTGCACCAAACGGTTTTTCCCAATGTCTTATCTCAGCATCTTTTTAAACATTAACATTTATTTAACATTGCCTCAATGCTTTTATAACATCTCAACAAGTCCGAACATCACAGTCCTGTCCAGTACAACTGGACTTCATAAAACACTGAAAAAGTCCTCTTGCCTCCTGAAATCAGCATTATTTATAGAAATACTGTTAAGAGTTAGTTAGAAACAGTCTTTATCACACTTTCAAGGCATCTCAAATTATGCTATTTAGTTAGTTGACAATGTTTCAATGTAAACAAATAAATCTAACAGACATTATTAAATGACTATGTAAAATGCTGAAACAGGGTTTAGTGTCCTTGTGTGTTGGCAATTAGTTAGGTATTGAAATGGTTCGGGTGGCTTATATGTCAACGCTAATCGGGCCAGAAGGCTTGTCTTTGCTCAACAGAGAAGCCGGACAAAGAGAAAAAAATCCTCCTTAACCCATGGCCTGGCTAGTAGAGGAAGTGATTTATGTCTTAGGATTCAGGGAGTAGAGTATATCACATAATGCTGGTGTAAAAGAGAATTTATACATTGATAAAGTCACTAAAATAAAATAAAAAAAGAAATGAGTAGGCTTGACAAAGGTTCCTCCAGGCATGCAGGGGGCAGTAGTAGGAAATGCATCCCTATAGAATATCACAATACTAGACTTCTGTATGAAAACTGATTTAAATGACATAGTTCCTCTGAATAGTTGTACACAGGAAATAAAATATGGAAAATATTTGCAGAATTCGTAACAAACAAAACAAAACAACAACAAAAATCTTCTTCCTTCAAAAAATAAGTACTGATTTTGCAGACATAACTAAAAAACAAAACAAAGCGGAATAAAGTTCTGCTTAGATATTTAATTTACTTGGTAAAAATATCTTAAATAAAACTTTCCTTTTTTATTTTTAAAGATTTTATGTCTTCAGTGATTTAAACATTTTATGTCTTCAGTGATTTAAACAGTGTAGTCTGATTCCCAGATAAATTACTCTGAATGTTCTCCTATTAGTAAATACAAGTTATTTTCATTATTTTTTGTCTCAAGGCTTAATCAGTGTATTTCCTGATTTAAAGTTCATATGACGTTTTTTAGTTGGTTGTCTTTTATAAAGATTAATTAATGTTAAAAAATATGAAAATACTAAATGTTTTGACATGTTTAGTCTTTTTATTTGGTACATAGTTAGGAGTAACTATTGGACTGCATTTATGCCACCATTAAAAAGTCTGTGAAAAGTCATTAAACTCCATTTAACATCATACTGATGAGGACAGTAAATGCAAAAAAAAATCGCATTTCTTTCCCCCCCCCAAATATATTTTCCTCAGAAGTACTAAAATAATCGTCAATGGAACTGTTAAGGGGAATCAGAACCATAAGTGTTCAATTCTTTACGGTTCCCATTGGTAGTCACCATTGAGGGTTACCATGGCCAAGAGTAGGGTAGGTTCCTTCATTTAGACTATTCTCATTTGCTCAATCTACAAACAAATCAACACTGTGGAAAAAACAAAACCATGAAAAACCTTAACAGAAATCCCATAACAGAATGATTAAGGTGCCATTTTTGGTTTTTAGCCATTTGATGGCAAGAAATCCAATAAATCAACACAGGAAGCTCAGGTCACTCTGGCTTGTAACATACGGTCTCTTCTTACATCTCCTGATGATGTCATGTCTCTTCCAGTAAAATAACTCAGGTGAACTGTGGACCTGAAGCCTCAAGCTGGCACGGTAATAATGTCAGAGATGGTTCGGAGACATCACCCGAAATGTGATAATGAGAGTCGGGACGAGATTGTAACCAAGCAACGGGTATGTGTAACACTCAAGAGGATGTGGAGAGTTTGGGACTGAGTTAATTTAGACGCAAAGTTGCATTGTCCGTCTTAGTCCTGCTGTTTTCAGCCTGAATCACAGTCACAAAGCTTTGAAACGCATACAAATGCACAGCTGGAGTCCATCTGCGGGGGTTATCACATGAAAACACTAACTGCTGTAATGTGAATGTGCGTGTTAAGTGTGTATAAGTTTTGCATTGAGTGTCTACGGTAAGTACGCAGTTCAATACACATCATGGCATACACAGTACTTCAAAAGCTCGGGCAGAAAGCGAGAAGCCCTCAAATCATCATGAGTGACGGACTCCCGCGCAGTGCTGAGGGGTTTTTCTTCGACTACTTAACTTTGACCTCCAACCTCTTGGAAATCTCAGAAGAGTCTCCATCTGAACTAGTCGATCATCCGTCTACACCTCCTCCACATGCGATTCCTGCTCCTCACATAAAAATGTTTAAAAAACCTCAAAAACAAACAACCGGGCGCTGAGGAGTTGTGATAGGAAGCTGATGAAGTGGAGGGAATGAAAAACTGCTTCTTTGATGCACAATAAATAAATCAGATGGAGGTCTGAGTTCAGAAAAGACAAACATTTACAATCGGATAAAATGAGGAAAGGAAAATAAAGAGGGGCGAATTCACTAAACTGCTGCGCTACTTTTGCGTGCGGGACACTCTGCGTCTCATTCACAAATCACCCACAATCCAGTTTAACAAGCTGCAATCTGCGCTGGAATAGTATTTAAAATATTCCGAAACGTTTTTGAATTATGACTTTTTTCCCTTTTCAGCACTAACATGCTTCCTTTTTATGCAAATTAACCTTATCGTACAATTCGCAAAAACCTTTTGTAATAGATCCTGCCGAATACGCCAAAAATGAAAGATTGTTCCAAAGCGCAAGGAATATTGGGTCTAGTCTTCACCAGATCCCGTCAGATGACATCAGTTTTGTGTGGTCTCGAAAACTGTCCAAAAAAAATGCAATTAGTTGTTTAGATTTTTTCCTACATTTTCTAGTGATAATGGCAGCAGTAATGCATCAAATGATGATCAAATTACCGAGTAATGTGAACATAAATAGACGCACAATGGAGTTTGAAACATTTTTGGCATTTTAAAAATCTTAGTGATGCTGTACAGTCTCTGTAAAGTATGGCAGATTGTGCTAGGCTGCAATTCAGCCTTCAAGATGGGGAACTGTGGTGTGGAAATTGCGTTCCGATCTTCAGGGCACGTTTTCTTTAATGAATGAGGCACTAAAACAATGCAGACAGCATGTGCAAATAAACCACGCAAACAATGCAACGCAACGCAATTAGTGGATTTCCACACACCCCCTCCTCCCATCCCATGTAAAAATGTATTAAGTATTTATATTATTTATACAGGTTTTTTTTTTTCTCTAAAAGTATGAATCACTTAAAAGTCTCACTCTCTACAGTTTGGTTTTGAGGATAAGCACAATAATTCAATTACGACCATCGGACGTATAAAGTCGTCTCAAACAGGCATGTGACGTACATTCACTTGTACCTGAGCACATGTGAAATCCGTGACCCGCCCGCCTCATGACGCACACAGAGACACACACACGTGTAAATAAACGCAAACACGCTGCTATAACATAAAAGCTGTATTTACAGCTTTTCTATACGGTACGATCAACTCAACTTCAGGTCCAAGTTCTTGTAACGCGTATTAGGCTCTTACATATAGAGTCACTTGAACACAGCGAACGTGTGTGAGGTACGATAAAGTCAGGATAGGTTGTCTTTGTGCTCGCTGATCTCATACTTTATAGTAAATATTGGCTGGACTCTGAGGTGGCATCTCTTGAACGATGTAGACGGGGTGACCGTAATCGCCGCTGACTTTTTCGTAATGGGGGCAGTATGCAGAGTCAGAGGTCCGCAGGGGAATGATGATATCACTGGGCTCTGAGCCATTATTGTTGCCCCCACCAGCCCCAGTTGCTGCCCCGCAGGAGCTGCCCCTCTTTGGGGTAAGAGAGGATAGTGTAAGGGCAGGGTGGTGAGTTTCAGAGTGCTTGGCTTTCCGTCGGCGGTAACACATCACGGCGATCACTACAGCGATCAGGACGACGAAGGCTCCCCCCGCACCACCGGCGATTAGAGCGATGTTAGAAGCGGATACGTCGTCGCTGTCTCCCCTCTCACCGGCCTCACCTCCATCCCCCCCTTTAGATCCACTTTCTGTATCTGAAGAAGAAAAGAGCAGATAAATCGATGCTTGCATGGACCAGATATCCACGTGCAGGACTTTTGAAGCTCACTTCCTATTTGGCTTTATCTTCTACGAATAACATCCTGATAGTATTTAGATTAGATTTGATTTAATCCATCACTAGCTTTGATTTCAGCCGGCTTGAATTAAAAAATGCCTCATGTTTGGCTTCAACACTGCTGGTTTCTCAAATGTTTACCTTATGGAGATCAACCAGTTCAGTCTAAGCCTCCAAGAAATTAAAAATAGCAATTCAAAGAACACTAGACAGTGCGCTAACATGACAACAGATGCATATGCAGATGGTATCAAGGTTAATACATAAATGCAGACCTCATTGGGATTTTCACTATTAAAATTGTTCACTTGACATCTTTCTGAGCTCTGGGTTCCACGTTTCACACTGTACATTTTTAAACCCGGGTTTACATTCTATTTCACAGGGTTATTTTAGTATTATTTATATACTATTATAGTATTTATTCATATTTTAAATTAGCTTTTATGTTTACATATTAATTTTAGTTTCAGTGCTTTTGTATTTTTTTAGTTTTTAAAAAATATTTCTATTTAGCTTTAATTTACATTCATTTAAGTTTGAGTAATAGTCGAACTTCAACTTGAACTTATTCTATTTCAGTAACTTCCCAAGGTAAGATTTCTCATTTTTGTTCAGATTTTTTCATCTAATATTTATATTCTATTTTATTTGACCTTTATTACATTTAACAAACACGATTTTCAATAGTTTTAGTTAACACCAACAACACTGTTAATATTTGCATGTTTATGATATTTAAACATCAATTGAAAAGTCACCACATAAATCCACTGTATTTTTCAAAAGTCTACTAAGTTACTACAAAAAAAAAAACACAAAAAAAAAATGAGAAGGATAACACAGATGAAACCCTAAACTAAACAGAGTGAAAATTTCTGCAACTGCACAATGTCCTTGAATATTTAATGAGGGCTTGTTGCTTATGACATATGGAGCTGTTGTGCTCACGGGGACCCAGGTTCAAGCCTGACCTGAGTCATGTCCCGAACCCTTTTCCCTTCTCTCTCCCTCCACTTTCCTGTCAAATGACCTATATAGTAGAAGAATAGTGAGAGAGAAAAAAGTACGGCTTCCTGAGCAGTGTTTTCTCTTTTCAAAATTACTAGAGTAAAATGTTGCTTAATGCAAGATTAAAAGTGGCCTTAATTCTGGGTAATTTTTTTTTTTTAATCCAGGGTTAAGCTAATAAGTGAATGTGAAAATCCCTCAGAAATATTGTTTTGGAAGCGCTGTCCCAGACTATTTCTGGTTGTTACCTGGGGTTCTGCTGTTGGGTCGGCCTGGATCAGGTTTGGGTTTTGGGGGAAGGCCATATGCAGCTATGAAAGCAAAAAAATAAAAATAAGATGTGAAACACCAAGTACATTTTGATGCATGGTTCAATTACTTCAATTATGTGAGCGAGTGTGTGCTGGTATTGACACAACATTTATTGAATTTTGTCTGGAACTCTCCCTGAGTGCATACTGTAGGTTGATTCATTGATGTGCTTTTGGAGGTGATGATGATACTCACTCTGTCCCACTTTGAGAATCAGCTTCATCCCTCGTGTCACGCACACGCCTCCTCTCATGCTGTCGATTCCTTCTTTTGTACCGTCAGAGGTAGCTATGGGAAGAGGTTGAAAAAAACCAGAACAATATTAATGTCAAGGATTTTTCTTTCATCATTTCAGATGGTGTGCAATGACAGCTGACTGGAATCCTGTGACTTAGCAATAAAACATTGGTTTATGACTCTCCATTAATTCACAGCAATGTGCAGCCACTCAATCATGTAAAGGACTAGCAAGCGTAACAGGCACTTTCTACGAATACAGTACACTTTGGCATCCAATTACTTTTTGAATTAATCATCAGAGGCACAAATCATGTTTTTTGCTGATAACTATGAGATATGTTTGATAAGCTAACATAACAAAACCTAGCATGAAAAGTAGCAGTTTTAAGCAAATCACATGTCTGTATCCCCCTTTAAAAGTGTGATTTTGGCCGGTTTTAAATATCAAACAATTAAGTTTTGATATAATCTGTTGAATTGACTTGATTCACTGTAGTTATTTGTACAGCGCTTTAAACAATACACATAGTTTTAAAGCAGCTTTTCAGACTGGATTACTACTGTATATTGTGATATGTATCATTAATGTTTGTGAATTAAGATTTTGGTAAAATAATCCACCATTCTGCTAGAAAGTTACTTAATTCTTAATAAAAAGTCATTTTAATAACACAAAAAAACGAATCGGTTACCTAACGTAACCTAGGTTCTCTCTAGAAGAGGGAACGAGTATTGCGTAAGCTAGCTTACGCTGCGGGAAAGATTCATCTTTGCTGAGATATTGAAGCCAAAAAATTATTTCATAATTTTGTATCCATGCACAACGCAGTTCCTCTGCGGCAGACCTAGAGCGGGCTAGCTAGCAGCTCATTGGTTCGCTCAGAGAGAACTGCTTAAGCCTATGGGAGAGCGGGGCTGAACCCGCTTCCAATGAGAGGCGCCCGCGCGCTCATTGCGTCATGACCCGCCAGAATGGGCGTGGCCATGGTGTATATAAGGCGCTCTCCCAGGCTTATATGTTGATTTATTTCAGCGTGAAGCGAAACGCTAGTAGCGCAAGCACGGCCGGGAACGCAATACTCGTTCCCTCTTCTAGAGAGAACCGAGGTTACGTTAGGTAACCGATTCGTTCTCTTACGAGAGGTTCTCTCGTATTGCGTAAGCTAGCTTACGCTGCGGGAACACCTGGCCAACGCCGTGCGCGCTACGAATCCACTCATGAAAAACCCAGGGATATACCGGGGGAATTTCTTAACGTGGAGTGAATGTACAAAGAGGCCGCAGAGCGGGCTCATGAAGTGTACACATAAGCATGTATGGGGCCAGCAGAGCGGGCACATGAAGTGTATAAGCATTACAGGAGAGCACAAGGGGCGAACCGGTTGTGAGGGACCTCCAGAAATGCAGCTTCTTAGAGAGCTGTTCGTCAGACAGCTAGTAATTTTGCCTGCAAGGCGGGAACTTCCAAGTTATAAAACCTGACAAAAGTGGACGGGGAGGCCCATCCCGCGGCCACACAAATGTCATGAATGGAAATTCCACAGGACCATGCCCACGATGAGGCCATGCCTCTAGTGGAGTGCGCCCTGATGCCCAGAGGGCAGGGCAGGCATTTAGATGCGTAAGCAGAGGCGATAGCGTCCACTATCCATCTAGACAGTGTCTGTTTTGAGGCGGCCAGACCCTTGGTGCGCCCCCCAAACGACACGAAAAGCTGCTCAGCGCGTCTGAACGCGGCAGCGCGCGTAGTGTACAATCTCAGAGCCCGCACCGGACAAAGGAGATTGGCATCGCGCTCACTATCGGATGAAGGCAGAGCCGATAGGGAGATAATCTGAGCCCTGAACGGGGTACCAATCGCCTTCGGGACATAGCCATGCCTAGGTTTGAGAATGACAATCGAATCATTCGGTCCAAACTCAAGACACGCGGCGCTGGATGAGAGCGCGTGAAGATCCCCAACGCGTTTAACTGAGGACAGAGCCGTCAGGAAAACGGTTTTGAGCGAGAGGTATTTCAGATCCACAGACTCGAGCGGTTCGAACGGGGGTGCTTTCATAGCTTCAAGGACTATAGAAAGATCCCAAACCGGAACCGACGGGGGCCGCGGAGGGTTCATCCTCTTAGCTCCCCTGAGGAAGCGGATGACTAACTCGTCTTTGCCCAATGACTGAGCGCGTCGGGGTTCCGCGAACGCCGCGACGGCTGCCACATAAACCTTGAGAGTGGAGGGGGACCTGCCCTTGTCCAGCATCTCTTGAAGGAAAACAAGCAAAGACGGCACCTCGCACGACCGTGGGTCCAGCTGTTTGTCGGTGCACCATTTTGAGAACACAGACCATTTAGACGCATAGAGCCTTCTCGTGGAAGGTGCTCTAGCCTGTATGACAGTGTTTCTTACTCCCTCTGGCAAATCAACGAATAGTCGTTGATCACCCATGCATGCAGCGCCCAGCGCTGTGGATGGGGGTGCCAGATCGTGCCGCGAGCTTGAGAGAGGAGATCTGCTCTGACTGGGATGGGCCACGGGGCTGTCTGTGACAGCTGCGTGAGCTCCGGAACCCAATTCTGACTCTCCCAACGCGGGGCTATGAGGAGCACCGAGTGGCGTGTGTCCCTGATCCTCTGAATTACCTGTGGTAACAGAGCGATCGGAGGGAATGCATAGAGCGGGCGGCGAGGCCATTCCTGGGCTAGCGCGTCCTCGCTCTTCGAGAAATATATTGGGCAGTGAGCGTTCTCTTCTGACGCGAAGAGGTCTACTTCTGCTCTGCCGAATAGTCGCCACAGTAACTGGACCGTCTGTGAGTTCAGGGACCATTCTCCTGTGGGGATGAGGTTCCTGGACAGTATGTCTGGACCGTCGTTCAGATGGCCCGGCACGTGCGTCGCTCTGAGCGAGAGCAGGCGGCTCTGAGACCAAACTAGAATGCGGTGCGTCAGTCGACAGAGATTTCTGGATCTGACACCGCCCTGACGGTTGAGATAGGAGACCACGGCCATATTGTCCGAACGGATCAGGACGTGGTGTCCCTGGATGCGCGGGAGAAAGTGCGAGAGCGCGTTCTCGACCGCCAGCATTTCCAGACAGTTTATATGTAATGGGCTTTCCTGAATCGACCAGTGGCCGAAGGCCGGTGAGCCCTCGCAGACTGCACCCCAACCCGTGTTGGATGCATCTGTCGAGATGACTTTTCGGCAGGAAAAGGTCCCCATCGTGACGCCTAGACGAAACCATTCTGCTACTGTCCATGGCTGCAGCGCCGTGAGACACGTTTGCGTAACCCTGATCAGCTGGCGACCCGTGTTCCACGCGCGGTGGGGTACACGGCTGTTCAACCAGAACTGAAGCGGGCGCATGTGCAGAAGGCCCAGCTGAAGTACAGCGGAGGCTGAGGCCATGTAACCCAGCATCCTCTGAAAAGTTTTCAGAGGCCTGCGGGTGCCCATCTGGAACGAGGCGGCTAGACGCTGAACACTGCGCGCGCGCTGTGTAGACAGGCGAGCCGTCATCGTGACCGAGTCCAAATCTATTCCTAGGAAGGAAATCGATTGACTGGGATGAAGGGAGCTCTTTGTCCAGTTGACAGAGAGGCCCAGCGTTTCCAAATGGTCGAGGAGAACTGCGCGGTGCGACAGAAGCTCCGTCTGTGATTGGGCCAAAATCAGCCAGTCGTCCAGATAATTCAGAATGCGCAGCCCCTGGCTTCGCAGGGGGGCGAGCGCCGTATCCATGCACTTCGTGAATGTACGGGGCGCCAGAGATAAGCCGAACGGGAGAACGGCGTATTGATAAACAAGACCCTCGAAGGCGAAACGTAAGAATGGCCTGTGACGGGGATTTATCTGGATCTGAAAATAGGCGTCTTTCAGGTCTAGAGATATGAACCAGTCCCCTTGGCGCACCTGCGCGAGGAGTTTCCTGGTAGTGAGCATCTTGAACGGTCTCTTCATGAGCGCTTTGTTCAAAGACCTGAGATCTAAGATCGGTCTGAGGCCGCCGTCTTTCTTGGGAACCAGAAAATAACGGCCGTAAAACCCCGACTCGGTCATAGATGGCGGGACTCTCTCTATCGCGCCCTTTTGCAACAGCGTCGCAATTTCTGAGCGGAGCGTGCCGGCGGCCAGCGGGCTGACAGAAGATTCGAGCTGCGCGCGCGCACGAGGCGGGCGGCGGCGAAACTGTAGCAGGTAGCCGTTCTTTATAATGCTTAACACCCACGGGGAAATGCCTGGAATGGCTTCCCACGCTTTGGAGCATGCGGCTAGTGGCCGAATGGCTGTATTGCCCTGATTGCTGCACATAGCGGGCTGGACACAGTGTGTGGGCGCGCTTTGAATGTGTGTGGCAACGGGATTTGCACTCAGAGAGGAGTCTATGGGCCGTGACACAGAGCGAGCAGAGAGGGGACACGTGCACGAGCTCGTGGGCGTGTTTATGTTCTCTGATATTAGAGCGGGCTGTGCCCGTTTCATGTGATGGGGCTCTGATAGAGACACGGGATATGTTATGCTTGTGTGTATGGGTGAACACATGATTGTGGGCACATTTTCTACACAACTGGCAAAATTTCTCTTTTTGAGATTTCTCTGGGTAGCCGTAAAAACGGCTTTTTGTCGCTCGCAAGCGGGCTGGGACACCGGCTTGTTTGTGGCGGTCAACACTACAGCAGTCGGCGAAATAACGGGGACTGGCAGAGGGCGAAGCTTTGACGGCGGTCCGGCCGCGGCGGGAGAGCACCGTCGTTTTCTTGACATTGTTAGGCAGACTTCTGATGATCAGGCTTCAGCGTGATCTTGGGTCGCAGGCCACGGGGGGGCGGCGGTCTGCGGCGGCTGTCAGAGCGAGAGCGAGGGCGAGGGCGGCCGCTCTGACTGCGCTGAGTTGTTTGAGTCTGCGGAGGGGGGCGCTGTGATGGGGCTCTGGCGGAGGGCTCGTGAGAGCGGCCCGCTGAAGAGCTAGCGCGGCGGGGTAGAAACAAGTTCATCGCCTGAGAAGCTTTCTGTACTTCAGAAAAGCGATCGACAATTCCCGTGACGGCAGATCC